ACTGGTTTTAATATTGCTTTTGACGGTTTAGAGACACCAAATTCAAGCAAACACTGAATTAATAAAAAATAGCTACTTATTTTGACAGAAACAATTTATTTATTTTGTAAAAGGGATATTAAACCGCCGGAATTAGTTTAGATAGAGTAATTTTAATATTTATTCAAGTGCTGTAAGGCGGAGTAATGTTGTGTACAGTGTGGTACTATAAAAGAGTAATACATGTATATGACTAATTCAATCTACTGTCCTTATTTTTGTTGTTTTTATCTCTTATCGTGACACGGTTCCATTGCATAATAACCTTTTGTTATAGCCCGAGCAACGAGGTGGACTCGTGCGCATGTGTATAAATGCGAGAACGAAACATAGGACGAGGGCAGACAGCAAAACCCTGTGTTTTTCCGGTTCTCTACTTCTCTACCTCTCCGTCTCCGGACAGGGAGGAACCCAAACGAGGCTATGGCGAAAGACAGAGTCTCGTCTGTGGAGGTAGACAAACCCGACTTCGTTGTTACGGGGTCTACGAATGATGTTTGCCAGAGCCTACAGGATCGGAATCGCCTCACGTTAAAAAACGGCCTTGTGCCACATCCTGCATTGTGGGAGAGGTCTTGGGTAAACAGTGACAGCAAAACCTCTGCGTTTGCTAATACTCTGCTTGTCGACCTCTCTACACAGACGAGGCTCTGCCGAAGGGTAGTGTCTCGTTTGGCAGATAGGGAGCGACCCGACCCCGTGTATACAATTTTTGCCCGAGTCTACTGGCTTGGAATCGACCCAGGTTAAAAAATGGCCCTGTGCCACATCCACCCTTATTTGGTGGTCCTGGGTGAATACCGAGACGGCAAAAGCCGTATTTAGATGTCGACTGAGAATATAACGTACTAATCTGGACATGTGACTGAAATCTACTATATAACAGGCACATTACAACAGAATTGGACAAAAACAACAAAGATAATGATATCGGAACGAATAATTCATTAATAATTCTAAGGTTTCTTGATATTTATTAAGCTTACTTTAATGTGATACAAGAACAATTATGTGGTATACGTCGGTCTCGTGAAATCTTGGACCTGAGCTCAAAGAGTTATGCCTGAGCTGCTGATAGAGGTGTAGCATCTATTATGGCTGCACAGGCCCACACGGGATTAACAGTTACTTGCAACGAATGCATGTGAAGGCCCTCTTTCCCGATGTCGCCGTTTTTTCCCCTTCGAGCAGTTTTATCCCCGGAGGCAAGTCTTCGCATCTCAACTCCTCTCTCCAACCCTCGTTGTAAATCGCGTCTCAATGTTCATATCTATTGCCCTCATGTCACTTTTGCAGACGTCCTGAAGCGAAGATTAGTTCGCCCTCGTGCCCTCTTGCCGGTGGCCAGTTCCTCGTACAGGCATACGGTGTACATGTCCAAGCCAGCGGAGCATTTGTTAGAGAAAGGCGTATAGGCAGTGCAATTGGATACAGTTGGGATCTATGTTATTGGTGATCCAGTCGGACCAAAGAATGCCCAAAATGTGTTTCAGACTGCGAAGATGACAGGCGATGAAGCGTCTCTTCTGTCAAGGACAATTGGGAGAAATGAACTTCCATTACGCTAATCTTTAAAGATAAAGTTACCTTGCATGACATGAAACGTAAGCATTTGTAAACATAGCTTTTATATACGCACGTATATTGACATCTGGGACTGGTGGTAATTCAGTTACATCTCAAAGAAAGTAACGGACTTCATCTTCAGAAATAAACCCTGAATTTTACCAGTTTTCAATGTATTGACAACCAACCAAAATTCACCATTGTCGACCTTGGATTTCGAAACCACTAACGGTTTGAAAGAAAGTCCTATTGCATTTTTCACGATCACTTTGAAGGTACCTTTCAATCTTCTGATTCTATTTGTCGAGTCCCATCAGAATGTGGCCGAGCATATCCTGCCAAATATCCCTATCCCTTGCAACTAACGTTGCCGTTTGTGTTTTTGATATGACGTTCACTCCGTCCCATCAGCCATTTGCAAAAGCTCGTCAGGTAGATGACTCATTACCTTCTCTTGTCATTTTTACATTCGATATATCACATAAGTGTCAAATACTCCAAACCATCCTTTCGGGTTATATTGATTTTCTAAGCGTAGCTTAGATTTGGCACAAGGCCGCAAGTATGGAGCAGGGAGTGAGAAGTGAACTCACTATACAGTCGTAATTAATCCACTGATATAAGATTTCTAACTATTACACCACGTCCAAGTGCACATCATAATCTCATCAAAATCACTCATGCACATCTATATTCTGCGATGGGTAAATTGCCGTCATTTTTAAGTTTTAATTTCGCGCATGCGCATTGCTTTTTTTTATTTTGTCGAGTACGCTTTATGGTCAGTTGGGTACCGTTTTGTGCAAAAAAGAGCACCATCACGCAATTCACTCCGCCAAAAATTTGAAAACGTCATTCAGTATTGCATTGCATTCGCACCGGAAGCTCTAATACGAACATTCCAGATAGCGCAGGGAATTCGAAAAGAGTTGGATGAGACCAATGGTGATTACGAAAATGGTTGGAGAGGTCACTATTGACGGCGACGTTATGCCTCCATTCATCATCCCACATCAGGTGCCTTGAAGAGATAGTGATGCCTTGGGTCAAGCGGGTAACTGCGGGAAGAACCTATGTCCGGTAAAAAAAAACAAAAAAAAAACTCCGCAACAAGCCACTCAAGCAAGGGAAAGCAGTTATGTTTGTCAGACAATTTCTGTTACCAGATCACACCTTATATCTGGCCACCTAACTCCCCAGATTGCAAACCCCTTTATTATAATGTTTGGGGTGCAGTTGAGCGAGAGACCAACAAAACTCCTCGTAACACCAAAGATGAACTGAAGGCAAGAATTATGGCAGCATTCACCAACTTAAACAAGAAGACTGTCCAGAAGAGATGCAGGAGATTCCAAAGTTGTCTGTAGACCGTGGTTGAAGCCAATGGGGTCTTTATTGAATAAATTTACTGTTTAGTATTTCAAGATATGTTTGCGTAATTTTTGGTAAATATGTATGTTAAAATGAGTAATCACAGGATTGCTTCACCGCTTTTATCCACTGGGCCATGCGCCCCTGGAGACATATAAAAGCGTTGGTTGAAGCAATCCTGTGACTTGTCCCAAAGAGTTGTGAGTTCAATACCCGGGTACAGCAGAGGTGAACAAAAACTTGGAGACTTTTCTTTTTATGTGCCATGTCCTTTCAGGAGGCGATAATGGCTCTCACCTGCCTCTATTACAGCTCTCGGCAACTTCCTTCTATCTGCTTCCTCTTCCAGACCGCATTCTGTCATCCACCTGATCGCCAGGTATGTCACGCGCTGTTTTCCCTTGTCTCACGTGCCCTCTATTCGACTCAGGAGCATCAGGTCTGGGAAGCGTCTTGACAGAGGACGGTAAGCGCGACACAGATATCCGTAGATGTATTGGGATGGCCAAGGACACATTCCAAAAGCTGGGCAGAGTATTGCGAGACAGGAGGATTTCTTTGGTAACAAGGAAAAGAATACTGAGCTGTTACGTGACATCCGTCCTTCTTTACGATGAAGAAGAGACTCGAGGCGACGGAGATGTGGTTCTACAGAAGGATGAAGGATGCTAAGGATATCATGGACCGAGCGTGTGAGCAACGATGAGGTTTTAGAGAGGTTGCAAACAAGGAAAAAGCTTTTACTTAACACCAGGAAGAGTCATCTGAAGTAACTGGAGCTTGAGTTACTAAAGTGAATTAACTGAAACTGAAATATCGAGAACAGGCATGGCACGTCGACCTAAAACAATATACCCCCATGGACTAGATAAAGGGCTCGATTCGAAATTCCAGCGTATATCAACTGAAGAAGGCCGGAGTGTATAACGGTCGAAACGTTGGGAATATGACAATAAATAAAAGGACAACGATCTGAACAATGTAAATAAATGAGATCCTGTTATTGATAATTAGTGAAACTGTTTTAATTAAATCGTCAATTAAATGCAAATCGGACTTTGTTTCTTTTCCGGCTTCAAATGCGACAGGAATTTCTTTCCATCCTAATATCCCACTTTCCGAAATGTTCCCTCGGAGACGAGTATCTTTAAATCCAATTATGGTAAACTTCCTCACAAGCCAAACTGTTCGGAAAACAAAATTATTTCCCATGCTCATTCAGATACGAAACCATGCTGTAAGGTTATTGGCTCGACCAATTTCCCAACATTCTACTAATACAACCAAACAAACAAAGAGATTTTTAAAAGGCTTCTTGACGGAAACGAAAACTTTTTCAGCCCCCCGTCTCATCCAATGCGTACCGTAGAAGATTTATTCGCTTTTCTTGATTTGATTATCAAAGAAACCATAACAGTTTTGACAGTAGTGACTTGCGCATAAAAGATTTATTCGACGCTATGAATAGTTTTATTCACAATGGGCGCACTTTTTAAAGTTTTAAGTAAAAGTAGCTTGATATAAAATAGATTATGACTTCTTTTTCGCTTTATTTATTTCGTTATTTAGTTATATTTTGCCATGTCCCAAGTGATTATAGACGTTACCGACTTAATTTTAAGCAGTTTATACCCAATAGAAATGCTTTTTAAGCGCCCGGAGATTTGGATAAAAAGTTGCATTTTAAATATAAGTAAGTTACACAGTACATTAAAGAAAATGGATTTTTTGTGTAGGACGTTCGTTAAACATTAAATATCTCTCTCATACACATACACACACACACACACACACACATATATATATATATATATATATATATATAAACATATAGATAAATTTAAGCATAAATACATATTTTTGCATAAAGATATTAAAATAAATGTACAAAATACATATGCATTAAATAAGTAATATGTATGTGTTGCACAAAAGCATTTTATACATATATATATATATATATATATATATATATATATATATAATACAAATAGACTTTGTCACTTAGCTGATTGATCTTATATTCAGAGATAGATAGATAGATAGATAGATAGATAGATAGATAGATAGATAGATGTGAACAGACTGAGAAAGATATGAACGGACTGAGATTAGATATATATAGATAGATAGATAATGAAACAGACTGAGATAGATAAATAATTAAACAGAGATAGATAGATAGATAGATAAAACAGACTGAGATAGATGCATAGATAGATAGATATATAATGGACATAGGGAACATCAGTGCCTATATCTGTAAACTGTCTATCTGTGATATTGAGCATTAAGAATCTGTAAATATAGAAACTATACATATATATATGTTTATGTCTATGTATTTAATTTTTATTTCGTTATAAATTTCGTACAATGCTCGTGGTAGCTGGTTAGGAAGGCTGCATGGAAAACACCGGAAACAACGGATTGAAAGAAGAAAAGTTTGACACTTTGAGACTTGACCATCGTTTTACCGGTGGTAGAGAAAAATGACTTAATGCCCAGCCACCGGTTGAACGCTGGTACAGAAAAATGGCGTAATGCCCAGCCACTGGTTAAACGGCATGTAAACACTTGTAACTATTTTTATATCTACCGTGAAGCATTATATATTAATTATTTGCGAATTTTGACAGAGGGGCTTAGACAGAAGAGCTAAAATTGTTCAAGAACGCAGAGTTTAAAGGGTTAAGGAGCTTGTTGTGGATTCCGGGATGAAATCCGGTAACAATAAATAACAAATGCCAAGAATGAATATAGGAAAATAATGTATTAACGTAATAATACAAACTGGTAATGCGGGTTAGTAGTTCCAGGAATACGGGTTAGTAGCAAAATATCTATACAGTCTTTGGTATTGAAGTATCGCTGTATGACTTCTTACTGGGTCTACATGCTCGCTCACTGTGACTCTTGCTCGCTACGATCGTTCTGTCTGTCTGTTACCTTCACCTACTGTCGGTTAGCTACAACGCAGTTACCTCACCCTCACTCTTCTAGTTACCTACAACCTTTCACTCTCGGGTATTCACATAGCAGTAGTATATGTATATACTGGGTGAGTCCATTTGTGTAAAAAGGGGAGGACTCCCAACAGAACTGAATAATTATATTAGACATAACACTATATTTCAGGCTGAGTCAAAATTAAAAAAATGTCAACATCAATGATGAAACATTACAACAAGGTAAGGCATTATCAAACAGAATATGAAGAGTGGAAAAAGTCTTTTTGATAAACAATATTTCAAAACTTTTTTTTTTTAATTTGACTTAAATTCAATCACTAGATTAAAGCATAGATTCTCAGAAAGAGTGTTAATTAAATTTATGCCATGATGTTACCGTGCATGAAGAGAAGGAAACAAAGCTCTTAACCCTTTGATCTCTGACCACTTCTCTTTATCGGTGGTCGAGAAAAATAACGTAATGCCTAGTCACTGATTGAAAAAAGTGGGTAAACACTTATAACTATGTTTATATCTATCATGAAACATTACATACCAATTATTTGTGAATTTTGACTCAGGAGCTCAGGCAGAAGGCTTAAAATTTGTCAGGAACGTTGAGCTCAAAGTGTTAATCACATGAGAACATGGATTGAAAATACAGTAGTTCAGTACGACGGATAGCGCTACGCCTTATCGATCCATTCTTTGACTCTATTCATAGCGGACGGACAAGACAATGTTTCAATAATGGCGTAGAGAATGTTAGGCAGTTTTTCTACACAACATATTTAAGTGCAAAATTCATTAAAACAAATCTGTGAAATCGAACCGACTAAATTCATAAGCTCACATCCAATATACAACATATCACGCAGAAATTTGAAACATGCAATGAAAAATTAACTACACAAACCTTGCCAGCTGAATATATATAATATATATATATATATATATATATATATATATATATATATAGAGAGAGAGAGAGAGAGAGAGAGAGAGAGAGAAAGAGATAGAGACGAGATGCGATGGGGTGATGAAAAGTTTAAAAGTTTAGTTTCTTAAAGCATTTATATATATGTATATATATATATATATATATATATACCTACACACACAGATATATATATATATATATATATATATATATATATATATATATAAAAGAAATATAGTCTTAAGGTGTGCTATATTTATGGGATAAAGTGCTCAATATCAGAGATAATATCAGAGATAGAGCGTGTGTAAATATAAAAGTGAACATAAAGCCTGACGATTGCATACAGTCTGAAACAGACTATGTGCAATCGTCAGGCCTGACGACTTGCATATAATAAACTTTTATTTATATATATATATATATATATATATATATATATATATATATGCCAGCCTATTCATTTCTATGAATGCCAATCTAGCTAGTAGGGAAGATAGCTATTCCATTTGCAGATATATATATATATATATATATTATGAAATGGATAAAGTCCGACAATTATTTTAAGACATTTTTATGTTTATACATTCTTTTTATAGAAACAAATATTTAAGTAAATGCACTGTTTTATAATAAACAGTATTAATATCATTTACCGGCCTGAATGCCCGTGAAATTTTCATAGAAAATATTCGTCCTCCGACAGGAATCGAACCTGTATCCTATACGGAACCGTCATTTAACCCAACGTGCCTTAACCGATCTAGCCACGGAGAATCGTTCGATTAGCATGGTCGATTTTACTGTTTTTAAACTTCAATCTTCCATGAATCTTTTACGTACATTCATATCTGTTCAAAGCGTATCCAAATGTAAACAAATTACGTCACACTTATGAAATGGAAAAAATCCGACAATTATTTTAAGACATTTTTATGTTTATATATATGTTGCATCAGCAAGGTGCAAGCGTTTATCATACTAAAAGACCATAAAGAAAGTTTCAAAACCAACCCTGCATGCAGACTCATAAACCTAACCAAAGGCGAGCTACGTAAAACCAGTAAAACAATACTAGAAAGAATTAACTCTGAACGTAAGAAGAAGTTAGGAGTAAACCAGTAGAAAAACACAAAATCAAATATTGGCTGGTCCCACAGCATAAACAACAAACAGAATTGCCAATTCCTACAATAACAGAACACATGCTAGATAAGGCCATCAACTTAGCTCAGGAACATATAATAATAAAACCAAGCGAAATCGACACCATTAAGCACTCCCGTAAATCATTACTATTTCACAATGAAGAAACATGGATAAAGAAAGATGGGATCTTTGACACTACAATGGGAAGCTTTGACGGTGCAAAGACATGCGAAATCATACGTATATAATTACTACACGAACTAAGCAATATAATAGATAGAAATGACATAGGACGCTCCATTGACGACGGTCTCATAATCTTAAGAAACTGTAACAAACAAAGCACAGACAAAACTAGAAAAGCAATAATAGATTTTCAAAAATAATAGATTCGACATAGATATAAGTAGATTTTCTAGATGTTAACTTCAACCTAAGAAAAGGAACATATAAGCCATACAGAAAACCCAATGATAAACCACTCTATATACACAGATCTTCCAACCACCCGCCTTCTATAATCAAACAGATACCAAAATCGATTAAACGCAGGCTTTCCGACAATTCCTCCAATGAATCCATATTTAACAAAGTTAAGAAAGACTACTAAACAGCCCTAAAAGATAATGGATTCCCAGCAACACTCACATATTCACCACAGAACACAAAAAGGCCAATAGGAAAAGAAATATCATATGGTTCAACCCACTGTACAGCAAAAACGTAAAAACAAACGTAGGAGAAATATTCTTCAAACTCTTACACTTCCCGGAATCAAGTATCGTACACAAAATATTCAACAAAAACACAGTAAAAATCAGCTACAGTTGCACCAAGAACATGGCACAATAAAATAAAAAAGCCCAACAGGAAAACTGTCAACAAGCCACACGAAAAAATTAAACCCACGTGTAACTGCAGAATAAAGAACGAATGTCCTTTAAACGGTAATTGCTTACAAAGCAGCTTAATATACAAAGCCACGATAAAATCGCCAGGTAATGAAGAATAAGTATATATAGGAGAATACATAAGTATACATTTAAGCAACGTATTAAAAATTTGTTTTCATGCCTTCAAAAACTGAAAGAAAACATAAAATAAATAAAGAAACAAATAAATAAACAAAATGACTATAAAATAAATTAACCCAAACAAATTACCAAATCACACCCGTTAGAATAGACGAAATACAATAAATAAATAAATAACAAATAAAAAACAAAATCAATGAACTCAAATAAATAAAGTAAATAATAAACAAATTAACAAACCATTGACCAAAATATTAGTTAGAATATAAAAATCATAGCAAAAATCGGACGAAAAACATAGCTATAACTGTTATATAACGATAAAAAATACTACGTTACTTAAAAATCGAAAACCGAAAAGAGTAAATAAAAATATACAGCATAATAAATAAATAATAATAAACAAGTAAAATAAATTAATCTAAATTAATCCAAATAAATAAACTAACAAACCGATCCCTATAAATTAATCGCTAGAAAAAACAAGTAAAATAATCAATCCAAATAAATAAATGAAATAATAAACAAATTAAAAACTGTTCCCGACAAAATAATAGTTAGAATTAACTACAGTAATCAAACCCAAAATTGAATAAATAGCTTTAATTATCTTCCCAAACCAAAACAAAACTATTAAATAAGCGATACAAACAAATTTTCACTATGTTAATAAAACACCGATTGAAATAAAAATAAATTAATATATAAGATAAGAAATAAAAATAAAAAATAAAAATAAATAAAAACAAGCACAATAATCTAACCCAAATAAAAAAAATAAATAAATAATCGACGTCCGGCAAAATAACCGCCAAAATAGACTACCCACAATGCACCACTGATTCGTATATATAAATAGCCTTGAAAAAAAAAAACACGTGGCCTGATGATTGCGTCTAGCATGAAAGAGCCTGTCGCCTCTAAGTGTTAACTTCAATGTTTATATATATATATATATATATATATATATATATATATATATATATATATATATATATATATATATTATTTTAATTTAACCTATAGCTCTGGCGGTCTGAAAAAAAAAACAGATAATAGAATTTGTAAATAAAAAATATTAGGCAAACTGATACTTGGTAAAAAATTCAATAAAAAAAGAAAAGACTAAAAACCTCCGTACTGCTTGAAAAAATACCAACCAGCAACGAAATGTCCAGGAAAAAGAAAAAAAAAGCATTAACAGAATACAAAGCTGAACGTAAATGTGCTAAATACACTAAGTAGAGCAAAATAAAATTAAAATTTAATATACACACACACACACACACACACACACACACACACACACACACACACACACATATATATATATATATATATATATATATATATATATATATATATATGCTATAAAATGACAATTGGAAAAAAAAATTCAGATTTTGCCGACGCGTTTCGTCATCCGACTTTTCAAGGCAAAAATGAAATCGAAATGTTTTTGTTGTTATAGTTACATTAAAAAATCCAAATTTAAAAAGATGGACTCTTCTGTCTAAGCCTTTTTTTCTGGTTAATGTAAATTACCTTTATATAGTAAAGGATTTTTTTTTTTAATCGACAACATAGTTAAATTCCCAGATCAATTCTATGGACAAGACAGATTGGTATAAAATGACGAATGGAAAAAAAAATCTTAGATTTTGCCGACGCGTTTCGTCTTCAGACTTTTTCAAAAATGTCCACAGAATTCATTGTCAACGTGGGAAAAAATCCCTTACTATATAAAGGTAATTTACATTAACCAGACAAAAAGGCTTAGACAGAAACGTCTATCTTTTTAAATTTGGATTTTTTAATGTAACTATAACAACAAAAACATTTCGATTTCATTTTTGCCTTGAAAAGATTTTTTTTTCCATTTGTCATTTTATACAAATCTGTCTTGTCCACAGAATTCATCTGGGAATTTAACTACTAGAGAAGATAGCTATTCCCTTTTGCAGGTTCCAGCTCGTGCGAGTTTGTATTCTTTCAAAACCAGCATTCAATACTGCAAGTGATCTGATTGGGTCGTAGTTGCAGCAATCTGGTCTGATCAGTTCTTGAACAAGCCCAGTATGCACAATTCCTCGGTCACGATGACATGTGACTTCGTGCTTGAACAAATCTCAACGGACCCCGGACCGTTTCTTCTATGCAATTTCACTAACAAGGCTAGGGTAAACCCGTGGGTATGGTTTATGGGTACTTCCAAACTGTGCTGATAGCTGGAATCCTCTCCCAAGGGCGCCATTATCAAGAAGATTCCCCCCTCCCAGGCAAAACACCGGAAAGCTAAATTTCTCAACGCGCATCTACGCTCACATCAGTCACACACAACACACACACACGCAAACATACACTATATATATATATATATATATATATATATATATATATATATATATATATATATATATATATATATATATATATATATATATATATATATATATACAGATAGACAGATCGATAGATAGATAGATATGGAATAGACATAGATAGATAGATAGATAGATAGATAGATAGATAGATAGATAGATAGATAGATAGATAGATAGATAGATACTAAAACAAACTGAGATAGATATGACGAAACTACAATGGATGATGCCGTCTGATAGTACGTTACCTACCTTCACAGCAGTCATACACAACACAAACATACACACTACATATATATATATATATATATATATATAGATAGATAGATAGATAGATAGATAGATAGATAGATAATGTGTAAGATAAAAATTACTTTATGAATATATGCATGTGCTATACGCAAGACTGTATATATGACATAGAAATGACCTCATGCGCCTACAATATTTATCCAATGTACAGGCCGATTGAAAATTTACTCCCTATTTTATGTATGATGGGCTTTCCCGTCTTGCAAAAATTATAGTAAAACTGGAGAGTCCATCATATATAAAATATGGAGTTACTTTTCAATCACCCTGCATATAATTCACAGACTTTAAGGTCATTAAACTTATCACTTACTTGACAATCAATGTGATAAGTAGAGATCCTCCAATTTTATTATTAAAACAACGGGAATTGCCTCTGTAGACCCGCATGTTCGAGAGACATTTTGAGAGATAGGTCGTCTACTCAAAGATTGGTATCCCGAAAATAACGTTTTGAGTTGTAGGAAATAATGTTGAATAAAAGTCCATTGATTTCTTAGAAATTAATTCACACACACACACACACACACACACACACACACACACACATATATATATATATATATATATATAATTATTTATTTAAAAATATGATTCCAACACGCTACATAAGAGTTTTCATGTTTCAAAACAAGAGCCGAGAACCTCAATATAATTATTTGAATTAAATTGAATTAAAGTCCTAAGTTCTGTTCCATCTTCAAGCGAAATTTTTTTTGGAATAACTTATTTCTGAGGTTTACGCGTTTCATAAGGATATTCATTATTGAAATCAAAATTTCTGTGGTGACGGCTAGAGCGATTGTTTAAAGAAAAGGGGTGTAAGGTGTTAACAATTTGTACCAATATCTCAATTTGTACTATATGTTACATTTAACAGATGTCAAGTCAGGGCAAGGTTGGGGTGTCTAAATTTAAAGCGGCTTTCTTTAAAGTTTTCTTTTCCTAAATTGGTTACCAAACAAAGCTAGACAGCTCAGTCTGCTCTGCTGTTTACTCTGTAAACGGCGAGAGAGAGAATGAGAGACAGAGAGAGAAATGGATGCATGGGTATTCGTGCGGAAGTGTATGTTAACGAACTTTGTTCAATTTTGAACACAGCTCGCTGACTTCCCTTTCATATGTATATATACCGGGTGTAACAGCAAAATTGTCCAACTCGTGCAGCATCATGGGATAATGGCCCATTCCGCAAAATGTTTAATATCGACAAAAAAAAACAAAAAAAAATCACTAAACTAACTGAGTTTCTTTTTTGCAGATTTTCGGATAAGACGTTTAGCCATATTGACAACATTCGCCGTAAGAATCAATGAAAAATCCATTGTGTTATTCAGATTAAATTGAGTCATCTGCACTATGTCTTCCCAACTGAGCAAAGGTGAGACAAAAAAGATCATTCAGGCCTTCAGTAATGGTACAAACATTCATATTCTGGCTTCCATCTTCAAAGACATTTCAAGAACCATAAAGAGAACGGTGAATAAGTTTAAACAAGAGGTAACAGTAGAGAGGAAACTGGATCTGGAGGTCACAACAGGAAGAAGGATAATCATTTCAACTTAGAGTTAAAGATATCAATTAGAAAAGGTCCAACTCAATCCATTAGTCGTTTGGCACGTGAGAGAGGGCTTTCACCTCTGACAGTCCAAACAGCAGTGAAAAAATGACTTGAAAATTAAATCGTACGTTAAAACCGTGAGGCAAATTGTTACTCCAGGACAGAAAGTTAGAAAGGGCAAAGATCATCTTGATCTTTTTCTTAAAGCCTGAATGATCTTTCTAGCTCAATAGACTCAAAGGATTTTTCAGTGATTCTTACGACAAATGGTGTCAAGGTGGCTAAGCACCTTATCTGAAATCTCGGAAAAAAATTCGATTAGTTTAGTGTTCTTTTTAGATATTAAACATTTTGTGGGATGGACAAATATGCTGTTACACGATATAAAAAATGTTGCTGGCATATATGGTTTGGAGACCCTTCTGTTTGTCTCAAGTTTCTTGACCAAATCCAGAGACGGATATGCAATATAATTGGCCCTGATCTGGCATCTCGTCTGCAGTCGCTCTCTCACAGACATGCCGTCGCCTCCCTCTGTCTTTTTGACAAATACTTTCACGGTAACTGCTCTGATGAGCTGCTTTCGCGGGTTCCCAGACTTCATGAATTTAAGCGTTCAGCTAGGCTGGCATCTCGCTCTCACCCTTTCACTGTCGAAAGTGTTAAATGTAGCCGTCTCTTCGACTTCAATAGCTTCATATCTCGCACTTCTCGCCTGTGGAACTCCCTCCCCTTTTCCTGTTTCCCTGATAGCTATAATCTCCAACTATTCAAATGTAATGTCAATCGACGTTTCCAGATGCCTTGCTCTATCCCCTGCACTTCTCTTCATCCTTTGCTCTATAAGTCCTCTTTGATCTCGCTTCAACTCTCAGTAACCTCTTGTGTGCTAGTTGCTTCCCGCCTTGCTTGGAGTGAAATGCTTAAAAAAATATACTAATTCCATTATCTCTCTCACCTTCATTAGGCCCAGTTGGTGTTAAATTATCTAAACACTTTTAGGTCTTCATTATGGGTCCCAGAAATTGTAGCTGTTTCATACTTATTGTAAGCATAATGTTCCTTGTTGTTTCTGTTTTCTGTAAGACATCTTCGTTTATGATTTTTTTAATCATTTCACCCCAAGCAAGGCAATAAAGTCACTAAGAGGCAAGAGGTTACTGGGTGTTAGAGAATATGAGAAAATCTACTATTAAGGATAAAGAACAATAAAAGAACAAGATTTAAGTAGACAGAAGACGGCGATTGGCATTGTATTTTTTTGAAAATCATAGCTGATTAGGAAGCAAAATGGTAGAATAGAGTTCCACTAGCCATAAGTACGACAGAAGAAACGGTTAGTATAGAACTGAGATGAAAATATTTGTCACTAAAGACAGGGATTTAGCCATCCTAAATTCTAAGAAGCAACGATTTCAGGAAGAAAATATCATTAAATTCTTCTTTATTTTTTAAAAATCATCTCACCCCATGCAAAGCCATAAAGCCACTATGACGCAATGGACTACTGTGTGTTTTAGTATGCGAGTAAAAAACTCTATTAAAGAGAGAGAACAATATAAACAAAAGAAGTAAGAAGACAGAAGATAATGATTGACATTGCATTTTAATTTTCGAAGATGATAGTTGACTGAGAAGCAAGAAGTCGGACGAGCGTTCCACAAGGGAGAAGTGCGAGTGGCTGTAATTTTGACTGTAGAAAACGTGGGTTTGTAAGAAGTTACGAGTTTAAAATCTGAATGAATAATGCATAATTAACGTTACATGACTAATCTTTTTTCTCTCTTAATGTTTGTTAAAATAAGCTTAAACAAAGATGAATTAATAATTAATCAGGAAAATGCTTCTTCTTAAAACTTCGAAGATTTTAAGTTTCGGACGTCGACTCCGATTGTTAGGAATGCACAAGCAATAAAAGAAGAAGAAAGAGTAAAAAGTTTCGTCTAAGAAATTTGGACAACCTAAAATGATTGTATAATGTAATTTTGGATTTGAAGAAAAATCTTACAGTATGAATGGCCTGGATCTTTAGAGAAATGAGGGACAACAAAGAATCTGTATTTGAAATACCAGTCTTTAGATCTTGACCATTTAACTCTATCAGAGATAGGAAATAGATAAACATCTAGACCACAGGACAGAATCTCCTAGAAGTTTGGGCTTTTAATTTGTATTATTTTCAATTTTTTATCTTTCTCTCTCTCTCTCTCTATCTGTATCTCTCTCTATCTCTCTCTATCTGTTTCTCTCTATATATCTATCTGTCACTATGTTTGCTTGTCTCTCTATTTCTATCTATCTATCTATCTAAATATCTATCGATCTATCTATGTATCTATCTATCTATCTGCTTCTCTTTCTACATCTATCTGTCTCTCTCTATTTCTTTCTTTCTATCTATCTATCTATCTCTTTTTGTCTTTTTTTATCTGTCTCTCTATATCTACCGCTCTCTCTCTCTCTCTGTGTTTCTCCCTCTATATCTATCTATCTATCTATCTATCTATCTATCTATCTATCTATCTATCTGCTTCTCCCTTTATATGTATCTGTCTCTGTCTGTCTGTCTCTCTATTTCTATCTATCTATCTATCTATCTATCTATCTATCTATCTATCTATCCCTCTCTCTCTCTCTCTCTCTCTATCTATCTATCTCTCTCTCTCTCTATCTATCTATCTATCTATCTATCTTTGTCTCTATTTATCTGTCTTTTCCTATCTATCTACCTCACCCCTCCCTCTCTCTCCCTCTCTCTATCTCTATATCTATCTATCTATCTATCTATCTATCTATCTATCTATCTATCTATCTATCTAATCTCCATCTCTATCTATCCATATATCAATCTTTCTGTCTGTCTTTTTGTCTCTATTTATCTGTCTTTTTCTATTTATCTACTTCACTTCTCTCTCTCTCTCTCTCTCTCTCTCTATCTATCTATCTATCTATCTATCTATCTATTTATTTATCTCAGATCTTTGCATATTCGGAGAGCAGAGCGGACGAAATGTCGAGATACCAACAACAAAGAGGAGGACAATAGACCGAATAAATAGGAAAATTTCGCTAAGAACAAGGAAAAGAATACTAAACTGCTACCTCATATCTGTCGTCCTGTATGGCAGTGAGTGGCGGACAATCTTCTCAAAGATGAAGAAGAGAGTTGAAGCAACAGAAATCAAGTTCTCCAGAAGGATACTGAGGATACTGTGAACCGAACATGTAAGTATCGATAAAGTTTTGGAGAAAAGGAAAACGAAAAAGACCATTATAATTAACACCAGGAAGAGACAGTTGAGGTTTCTGGGGCACATAATGAGGAAAGAGGGCATGGAAAATCTGATACTCACAGGACAGATTGATGGCAACGTGGACAAAGGAAAACAACGCATAACTTAATGAGTTTGACTAATAGATGGTGGAACAAACTTAGGAGAAATAACGGAAATTCATTTATTAAGATCTACAAAAGGCGGGAAGTTGTGGAGGGCTATATTCGTCTACGTCCTGAGCGGACACGGTACATAAAGAAGAAGAATGATAACTTCCCATTCCAGAAATTCAGACAGAAATTGTCTAGTATTTGTCTATATTTCTGAGATGAGGTGTTACGTACACTATTGAAATTGTTCGGACTATCATCCTCATCTTTGTTGCCATATTTATCACAACGTTTCGGCCGTTGTACGCTCAGGCCTTCTTCAGGTGGTTGGGATGTCGAACTGAGCCCTTTATAATAAGAAGTACCAGAGAAAAGCAATAATAACAACAAAAATTGGAATATGAGCTCTGGTAAAAAAAAAAGTACAATGATAACAGCAAAAATCGCAATATGAGCACTGGTAAAAAATGATTGCTGAAGACGTTAGATTTATAAAACCCACAAATTCATACACAGATGTCCTGAAGGCGTTAGTTAGATCAGTGAAAAGACCCAAAGCGTGTGAGTTCAATACCTGGTTAAGGCAGTGGAGAACTTGGAAATTAACAGGTGATAACTGATAACTGACATCCATTAGACATGACACGTTGAACTACCCCAGTGAGCGAAATAAAAGGTTCAGTTCGATATCCTAACCACCTGAATAAGGCCTGAGCGTACAATAGCCGAAACGTTGTGATAAATATCGCAAGAAAGATGAGAATGATAGTCCGAACAATGTAAATATTGTAATAATACCTCATCTCAGAAATATAGACAGATACTAAAGGGCCAAAACGTTGTGACAAATATGGCAATAAAGATGAAGACAATAGTCCGAATAATGTAAATAGAAATTGTTTAGCCTTTCTAGTCGTTATCCCACACCGATTGTGGGTTGTTTTTTTACCATAATATAACACTCGGGTTATTTCAGGCCGAATTTTGTATGTGGCACCTAGCGAGGATCAAAATCTCTAGTCAATAGTAATGGTCAACAAAATTAGCATCGCTAACCGCTGAACAACACCGATCATTCGTTGGTTGATTTTACACGGCAACAATTGTCGAATTATTTAATGTCGACGTTCCCTGCTAGTATCGAAGTTACGACAGTAGAAATGGTCAACAATAGTAGATTCGTTAACCATTCAAGGCTTCTTGAAATTAAATGCCACAAGTGTTAAGTAGACAATGGGCATTAAACTCACCGTCGTAAGAATGGTCATGCTGCTGATTACTCATGGGTGAAGTTCCTCGCCAGATTAACAGGGAAATGCATAATAAATTTAAGAAAACAAACCCAAGAAAAATATTTTTTTTAAATATTTCTGGAATAATGAATTCTCTTAATTTTATATTAGTCAGTTTAGCCTGTGTTATAGCATTTTGTTGCATAAAGGTAATAGACAATTCTATCGAGTTAATACTCGTCCGTCTCCTGCGTCTAGCAGTAAAAATAATATAATCTACATCAGTGGCACATTCGCTTACGTGTAAATACCCTTGGTAGAGGTATGGATCCATCTCTTTTCCACCCAGCTATGGATTAAATAGCAGGACAGAGTGAGTCTTATAGCTTTGGTTAGCAACAAGTCTACCGTAAAATGAAACATGGGCTGGCGCTATTGAATTATCAGGAACTTTACCAAATATTAGAAAAGACATCATTTGAAGACTGCCAACATTAGCAACAACTAAAATGGATAACATATATAACGCGAAGAAAATAGTAATATGAAGATGTTGAGTTCACACTATTTTAGATAAAAAGTACGGAAGAAAAACCATATCAATACTGAAAAGATCTATAACAGTTACTGGACTTGAGAAACCTATTTTCCTGAAAAATTTGTTTAATAGCTTTTATATTTTTGAACAGAAAGTAACACTGGCTGATTGGTCAATGAATGCTGAATGTTTCCTTATAGAGCTACAGCTAATATTATCAGTACCATGATTGTTCATAGATTAGTAATTTTACTGTAAAAAAAATGTTTCTTTATCAACAACGCCTTTACAAAATGTTGCCGTTTGGATTTAAGCCATAATAAAGTGGAAATCAATAAAATGATTATAAAAAAAATTATATTGTTATTTCTTTATATAAAATAAGTTATCGGTGTCTTTCCGAAAGGTTTTCTATGTTTTTGCGCTGAAATGTAAGCGCCGTTATGAACCCGGCGACAAAATACATGCATTCAGAAAAATATAGGTTTTCAAATATACTCAGATTTGCTTATTAAAACACCAAGGGAAATTAGAAAAATTGAAAAATATTGTCGTCTAAGGTTAGCCGGTGCTCACTACATGATACGAATGGTTGATTTTATCATGGCTCCGATTAGTACCAGAGGAGAAAAAACAGCTGCTAAGTCGGCCACCACGAAAGAAAAACATAATGTAGATTTTTTTGTACTGAGAGGTAAACATAAAGATTGAGTGACACACATACAGATGAGAAACACGCTGATATCAGCCTTATTTGGTTTGGTACTATACTAAAGTTTTCAAATAGGGTGGAGATTTAATTCTATATGTTTCTCTATTGATCAATTTTTGTATCTCAACCTGTTCATATATATATATATATATATATATATATATATATATATATATATATATATATATATATATATATAGGTAGATACGTAATTTAAGTTTCTTCATGTTTATCTATTTTTTTTTTCTGCAGATATATCTATCTCTCGAATTATGTGTATATCTGCCGGTATCTCAAGCTCACAATTTATTTTATCAATGTCTGTTCATATCTATCTCAGATATTCATATATATATATATATATATATATATATATATATATATATATATATATATATATATATATATATATATATATATATATATATTATAAATAAATTGATTTAAAATATGTTTTTTCCGCTACACAGTTCTAACCATGTTTCAAAAATGGAAGGTCCGAATTTAATTTTTGTAATTAATTTAATGGAACTAATGTCTTTAATTTAATTACAAAATTAAATTCGGACCTTCCATTTTTGAAACATGGTTAGAACTGTGTAACGGAAAAACCATATTTTAAATCAATTTATTTATAATAATAATGCTCTGTAAATTTACATTGAGCACTATTTTGTGAAAATAAAAATATCTATAAGAACACTGGATTATATATCTTACTGTTCTTTCTTTTTTTTTTATATATATATATATATATATATATATATATATATATATATATAGATAGATAGATAGATAGATAGATAGATAGATAGATAGACAGGTAGGTAGGTAGTTAATAATCCGTACGTATAATCTGCGCGAGTCCTAGAACTATTCCTATAGAATTTGAAATATGTCAAAAATGACTCACAATAGAGCGTTCAATCTTTATTTTCAATAAGTTTCAGCAAGTTTTCTTTACAAATGGAATTAAGCTAGCTTCAGTTATTGACCATTTTCACCTATTAATTTTCATTTTTAAAATTCGCAGAATTTTTCAAGCCGTTTATGGTACCGGTTTGTTGTGGGATACTGGTTAGTTGAGGAAAGAAAAAGAGAGAGGGCGTTAGAGGGGGCGTAGTGGGAGATATAGCAGAAGGCAATTATATTATGGGGGCAGGGGAGCCTGAGTAGGGTGAGGGAGGGGAAACTGGTGAGCTGACCTACATATTAATGGTCACAAGGCCAAAGTTTGATTCACCGGGAATCCACGAAA